TGGTTCCAATTTTCGGAACGACCCCAAGTGCGCAGTTGTCGTCTCCTGCAATTTTGAGTACGCGGAGAGCCTGCTCAAATTTGAATTTCGCTTTCACGTGGCGCGGCACGTGGGGCGGCACTGCAGAACTAGAAGAAATTGAAGCAGTCGGATACAACAAAGAAAGCCGAAAAGGGCTTACTCTACACGACCAACCGATCCATGGCGACTGTTTCGGGTAGCCCAAGGAGTGCTCCTTCATCCTTGGGCAACCATACATGTCTCCCTTCGACTGAGCACGCAGGTTAGGGAAACGATAATGTTTTACTGCGCCAGATGAAGGAATCGTCGAGATAGAGAAGTTTTGGTGACTGACATAATTATAAGCATAAATTATATCTCCCAGAGGCGATGGCCTGTCGAGGGATAGAGATATGATATGGACACTGGAGTATGGAATCAGTTGATCCGAAACCCCGCCGGAACACTCGGCAATCTGTGCAGGCCCCAATTGTCGAGCCAGGCCGTCAAACCTGCATTTTCTGCGGCTCTTTGAAAAAGAAGATTCCAGGCAAAAGCACTAAGCAAACAACGTCGCTCTTGCAATCCGAGGATGGCGAGCAAACCCTTCGTGCCGCTGCCGAGATCAGGCAGGACGACAAGATCTTGATAGCAATAGGCTCGAGTTGCTTGATAGCACGCGAAGCGTACTATCATAAGTATTGCTACCGAGAATATACTCGGGCCAAAACACTTGCTAGGCTGCAAGATCAGGGCGAGAGCGCAGCCACTTGTGCGCCTGTTGCCAGTGCGGGCACCGAGATTGATAAAGATTTTTTTACTGAAGTAGAAACGCTGCTGTTTGTGGAATGTTTGGTTCGGACCGTCAGTGACCTGACTCGATTGTTCAATCAAGTGTCCATAGAAGGGACAGCGCTAGCGAGAAACGAAAGAGTCAAGGGACTACTAATGGATAAGTATGGCGAGTCCATAACGTTCTCTCGTCCCCGCGCACGGAATAAATCCGAGTTGGTTTACGCCACGGAACGTGCACCAGTGATAATAGCACGACTGTATGACAGGGACGCTGCGAGCGAAAGCGAGAGTGAGGAATCTGGTGACAGTCCTAGTGCTAGCGCCTGTGAGAGCCAAGAGGGTATCGCTAGTACCACTACCAGTAGGTCTACCAACTATGGAACAAGAGCACCCAGACGCCCCGCTGAAGTGGATGTGCACCAGACTGTTATTATGCAGGACAGCATACGTCTGGTATACCATTCGGCTAGGCTCCTGCGGAATGCCTGTCAGCAACAGGCAGAGAGTTTCGACACTACAAGCACAAGTCCTGGCAGCAGCACTGGTATGATTTCAGTGAAGCAAGCTGAGCAGTGCATTCCTGCCCTGCTCCACAATTTCCTTGTGTGGTTTTTGAGCTCAGGCCAGCATGACAATATACCAGCAGCATCCAGCAAGCTTGAAGTTGATTCCACGCTCAACCGCAAAAGCATTCCATGACCCACTGAAGAAGATGAATCTGAAGTCATTCACTGTCAAGAAGAAGAAGAACCCTGTGAATGATCAAGCTGGCATCCTTCGGTCCGACCGGTCAACATTTTCCCGCATTGCTCTGATTGCACAGACTCGCCAAATGGACATGCGTGAAGTTCTCTCATATCCACTCGGACCACTGCCATGGTCACTAGCAACTACATCAGGTACTCTGGTCAAGACGAGCAAGGCAGCCCTACTACCGCTGCTGACCGATGGAATCGCATCTTCCAATAATCCAGATGCTGGTGGAGCTCTGATCATTGATGCCATGGCACACCTGAGGTCCATGAAGGTGTTCGATCTTCCGTCCACTTTTGGTGAGTTTGCTGCTGTTGTTCTGAGCCATCTGTGCCGACTGCTATCTTCATACAGCCGGATCGACTTTGTGGTCGACACGTATCAAGAGATTTCAATCAAGAGTTTGGAACGATCTGCCCGTGCTGCTGATGGAGGACTGCGCCAGCACATCACCAGTCCTGCGCAACGATTGCCTCGGCAGTTTGTCAAGTTCCTGGCAGTTGGTGCCAACAAGGAAGAGTTGCTGGAGTTTCTCTTCAAGCAATGGCAAACAGTCGACCTGATGAAGAAGATTCCAAGCCACAGGGAGCTAGTTATCACCTCCGGCAGCTCGTGCATGAAGATAATGTCTGGTGCTGCCACTACAGTTGCCCTCCCTGTCACTGATCTGGCTTGCGATCATGAGGAAGCAGACACCCGACTCCTTCTTCATGCTCACCACGCAGCGCTAGCAGGATCGCGGACTATCACCATCAAGTCACCCGATACTGATGTTGCCGTGCTAGCAGTTGCGTTCAGCCACTCCATTCCAGCACCTCTCTACTTCATGACAGGAACCGGTGTAAAGACTCGCTACATCCTGATGAATGCTATCAGCGAGAAGTTGGGCCAAGCTGTTTGTGATGCTCTACCTGGCTTTCATGCTTTTACGGGCTGTGACACAACAAGTGCCTTTGCAGGCAGAGGCAAGAAAGGTGCCTTCAAGCTTCTGTGCAACAACTCCCCGGAGAGTGCAGCTGCCCGCTTGGCCTTCAGTACTTTGGGTGCAGCTTTTACACCACTTGCCACCGATGTCATCGACGCCCTAGAGAAGTTTGTCTGCATCATGTACAACACCACGTGTTCCCGGGTCAATGATGCCAGGTACCAGCTGTTTTGCACAAGGAGTCTGCAATCCAACCAACTGCCACCCTGCAATGACGCCCTTCTAAAGCACTGCTGCCGCTCCAATTACCAAGCTGGTATTTGGAAGCGATGCCTCTTGTCACATGTGGATGCACCATCACCGAATGAGAAAGAACAAGGTGAGAGCAGCAATAGTAAAGTACACCTAAGTAAGAGAATGGCAGAATGTATTTCAGTATGTATCTTGTCTGTGTTGGTGTTGAATAAGAAAGTGCAGCAGGCTTTAATACTTATGTACCTGTAAGAGTACCCGCTGTGATAAATCTGCTAAGAAGATGTTGTATAGAACCAGTGTACTTGATATCTCTGTATGTAATGGAGTTTGAACATTTTTTCCTGTCGCTGTGATTCTTCTCTTCATATTACAGGCTGGCACCTAGAAAGCAATGGGACATTGGCAGTTGACTGGTTAAGCCTGCCACCTGCTCCAAAGTCAATCCTAGAGTTCCTCCGGTGCGGGTGCAAAACTGGTTGCAGCAGTGGCAACTGTTCGTGCCGCCGGCATATGCTGTTGTGTACAGATGCTTGCACCTGTCGGCACCACTCTTCAGTAGTATGCACAAACTACCCAGAGCAGCATGCAGCATTGCCTACGACCCAACACATCTCACCTGAAACTGATTTGTAAGTAGTCATTGATATCTTGTTTTGTTTTAAAATAATGCCGTCAATGAATGCTTCACGTGAGAGATATTTATGATAGTAACTGTTTATACCATTGGTGTACATGGCTGGTCAAATCCTTTTAAGTAATGTGAACTTGAATTCAATACTTACAAAGCGTTATATTCTCGTATGTGTGTTATAGGGTCTGCAGTGACACAGCTCATGACTGATAGCAGCCAGCCAACCGTAAGGATTCGGGACTGACAAACTTGTAAGCAATCACTAGTTGCCGTTATCTCTGTGCTGTATTAACTTCCAAGTCTTTAAGCATGAGAGATGCGCTGCTAATGAGCACCTGTCCATACTGACTATACTTGGCCATGTATGTAGATCCGTCACGCGGCTTGCTGCTAACGGGACACAATCATTGTGCGATGGTCTTTTTTCTTTCTTTCTATCTTTTTCAGGTTGAGCAATCATGTGCATGATGGATAGCAGCCAGCTCTAGAGTGTCCCACCACCTCTGGGATATCTTGCAACAAATCTTATGACAGATCTGTGTCAGCATCAGTGGATGCCGGAACTGTCTTTCTTTGGCCGACAACCGCATCCCGCAGCACGGGTGATAGCACATCTTCTTCTTATCATATTATCTACATGACTGTAATATTGTCATTATAATTTAACCTGTACCTTCATTTTAAATTGTTTCCAGAGGACCTATGATCTTCTTACTGGAGCTCCTATACCAGAAAAGTTAGGCATGAAATATGATCGGAATGTCCGGAGACCCATGAAAGCGTGACAGTAATAGTAACTTTACAGATTATGCCAGTACTAAGACTTTATTATTATAATCAGAGACTTCATGCTAGGAAATAATAAATTATCCTTCTAGTGTACTTGTCCTATTTCCTATTTTGTGCAGGCTCCTTGTTGTATAATATGTTCTCAAATGTGACATACATTATTACAATGTATTACTATTGTGAAATGACCCAAAGGCAGTATGCCTATCGAGGGGTTCATTTGATTGAAAGAACAGTACTACTACTAGTATGTGGGGCTTGATGAGGAGAGAAACGCGGAAAATGAACTGCAAGGTGTAGTGGCGGAATTCCGTTGATTGCATAAGCATGGTTAGTGTATATTGCATTCCGTGTATTGACGCTATTGTGTTCTATTCTAAGAAATGCTATTGAGGTAGTAAAACACCTCCGATCATCATGAAAATGTGTACACAGCTAGGTCTGGGCCTTGGCTACTTCATTCCAAAGCAACACTGTTGGTATTTAATCTGCAAGATACCTAAATTGGGAATTATCACTTTGGTTGCTATGGTAACACTCTTCAAGAAGTATTTCGTTGATTTGGTCAACAAAGCCCCATGTTTCTGGGTCAAGTGACACAGATCCTGAAAGCTCTATGTATTCTCTATCATTTGCACATGTCAAACCTTGGTCCCCCTCGAACGGGAACGAAAAGTCACTTTTTTGCACCTTGGCCTGTGGACTATGTGAGTAGATCTACGAGTCTGACTGATCCCTGTACATGTACTGATAATATCAGCGATTATGACACTGTGACGTAAGTGACAGTCGCGGCCGGGGCTGCCGTGTTTTGCATGGAAGCCGCCTCAAAATGCAAGCAACACTGCTTTGCTTTGACAGGAATTTTTATATTTTGTCGTTTGTTAGGAGTGCCTTCCTCCGGTCCAGCCTAGCTTACCCTACTACTGACTGATCAAGTGAAATCCTCTGAGAAATTCGCTATGTTCTGCCAGGCTGAGTGATATGGCGGGTTGTCCAGCACATCCAGCAAACCATTCGACTCCGACATTGTCATTGGGCTTTGGAGTGATGTCGAAGCTCGGTAGGAGGTTTGTGGATGCGTAGCTAAGTGCGGTCTGCTGGCTGTGCGGCAGCACCTGTGTTCGCTGCGGAATGGCAGCCTCATCCAACTCTAGGAATGGTGGCCTGCCGTCGCCTACTGCTCCATCGAAGCCGAAACTTGAGGCGCAGCTCTCTAGTGGTTCGGTATGTCTTGACACTAACGGACGCAGCTATAATGTCTAGTTTCAGGTTATTGCTATGTCAGAGGAAGTCCGCTGGCTCCGACCAGCACATTCATTCATTCTATTTTTTAGGCGATGAAGAACACTTGTAGCTGGAAAGAATTTTTTGCAATGGTTCAAGAGGAAACTCAAGCTATGGGGCATAAGCATTTTTGCGTTATCAATGCGCTTTGCTCTCTCACTGAGGGTTCGTGCAGATTTGGTTTTCTATGTACCGTAATAGTTATGCATGTAAGAACATATTTTTGAACTAGGGTCTTCACTCAGTTCTGATCAATCAATCGGACAAGGCTCTTTACTGACTTTAGAGGACAGTTTTCTAGACGCATCATCCTGTGTCTTCTCCACCACAATAACATAACAAAGATGTTCAGATAACCGGATACATTTTGTGCGCAAAGATCTAACGAAAATGTGGAGAAACGTCATGAATTGGAGAATTTGATCCAAGAATTTGATCCTTCAAAATCATACTTGTTAAGTTGTCAGTTTGTCACAAATGATCCCGAAATGTCACTCGGGATTGTCGCTGTGTTCAGTACTCATCCAACATTGGCACACTGCTCTAAATCTACCCAGGAGTTGGTTACAACTTACAACTGCCCGCGTGCCACACTCTCTGCTCTAAATCTAACCCAGTGTTAGTTAATACTATCGCCCACGTGAAACTCGGCATTGGACTCAACCCTATGAGTGTGATGTAAAACTGAATATAACGGCGGTGTGGCAGGCCATGTATCCATGATTTGAGTTGCTGAAATTGTGTAGGGTACTGTCATATCATGCAGCCCAAACGGTGCTGCACCAAAATATAAGTGAGTTGCGGCAAACAGCAAGTTGCACTCATTGATCACAGACACGGACAGAACGCTTTGCTCAGGTGTAGTGCTATCATTGGGATAACACGCCACATTGTTGGAGTACACTGGTGTAGATACGAAACCCTGTATTGGCAGCTACTGCACGGGGTGCAGATATGGCAAGAACGCATTGCAATATGCACAGGATGGCTCTTTGAGCAGACCGGTGCCGAGCAGTCGTCGGGAGTGAGATTGTTTCGATTTGATTTTGGCTGCCGTTCTGAGTGAGTGTTGCCTTTCTCACTACTATAATGTATAGAGTATACTGTATAGACATGAACGCAATCATGCACTGTACTGTACTGTACTGGGTGCTAAGGTTGTACCTTCTGAAGACTAGACTGAGAATAACCAATAGGCACCGGCGGATTATGCCGGCAGAAAAATTGGCAGAATTCGGTACTTTTTCTGGCTAGTTTCATGCATGTTTGGTATGTGGATAAAGGAATGGAGCAGAATTCGAGGAATTGCCTGCCATAACTAAGGTTTGTATGGCTCTGCCAAATTCACTGCTTTTCGAGCAGAATCTGCCACCTTTTCGAGCAGAATCCGCCGGTGCCTAATAACCAAGGATAAATAGCAGCACCCTGATGTACATGGTGTTTAGTTGCAGACTGCTGCTAGTCTAATGTAGTCAAATCAACTCCTGTGTGGACTGGATTGCATGTCAACACCTGCTGCTATGCCTTGGCACTTGAGATAGTTTGGAAATGTATTGTTAGCTACCTGACGTCCCATCAGTGTCAATCACTGCTATACTGTGCTCTTCCTACAGACTTCCACGGATGGTGACCTCAGTGTGTGCCTGATAAACTACATTCTATCTCCGGATGCGCTACTACAGTAAGGGAAAACACCATACAGCACGTTATTGCAGTCGGGTACGGGGTAGTGTAGCGTTAGTCCAGTATACATGTCTAAGATGGCGTTAGTGGCTTTCTTCCAATAAGGTGCGTACTCAAGGCCCGTTTAACTGTACCCTGGAGCATTAGAGGTGGCCTGATGTTTATGTTTAGAAGAGGTACAGGTTAATCTCCTCTTCCACTCTTGCAAATTGTGTATGCCGGACGAGAATAGGAGAGTCCGACTGCCTTACACATCGGCTGGCATCCGACTGCCTGCGTGTAAGATAAAGGGATTTAAAAACGAATCACGGGAAACTGCCCCAGTGTCGCTAGTTGCAGTGACATTCTATGAACTGTATCCAAGTCACATGCATATGTGGTGCTGTATACGCGGTGTTGTGTTTGTATCACCATGGTGATATTGATATCCACTTCAATCATGTCTATGTAGTGAGTCTGTGTTTACTCGTTTGATCTGCAGGATCTTTTTCAACCTAGACATTATATCTCTCTGCCGATGTGCTCAAGTTTGTAAGGTGAGTTTGCCACCTAGGATTGTTAAAGAGAGAGAGAAAGAGAGAGGGAGAGAGAGAGGCGGGGAGGGGGGTTGGGGTTTGGGCATAGCAAGCATGATACACCGGTATCCTATTTTGTCGGACCCATGTACTACTCATTCATGTCTGTGTTTGGGATAGTGGCAGTAGAGTATCGTCTAGATAGTGTAGCAAGGCGGTAACTTAGTTTGGGAGTTCAGCTTGCTTGTGTGCGTGTCATGTCGATGTACCCAATGTGACTATTCCACTTCCCTATCATTCAGCAGGGCAATGGAGGAGCATTGCTCAAGGCTATCTTTACTGAGTCACTCGGAGATTTAGTGGGGAGACCTGCAAAAAACAACAGTGCTTACTGTCTGTGTAAGGGTTAATTTGATACATGCACAGCTGCTTTATTTGGAACATATGCCAGATGGGGAGGGAATTCTCATGACTGTACTAACATTATACATGTATTTGTTTTGCCTGAAATGTGGAAATATTGTGTACTTGTAGGTTACAATGGTGATATGTGTTGCGATCGCATTGAAATCCATGTCTTTGTACATGTGCTTTGCCTATGATTTGTTTTGTTGTCTAGTCCTGGAATCGATTAGCTCTCGATGGCAGTGTATGGAAGAATGTAAACCTCTTTGAGTTTCAGATTGCCATTACAGTAAGTGGTCATCTCTGCATAATCCACTATTCTCCCCACGATGCACTGAATTTTACATGACCCACAATTCTCTCGCATCCACACAGTCCCAGATGCAGCCACGGTGATTGAAAGCCACACATACAAGTTTAGACCATAGGGGCATTTTGGATCCTAGAAAAAGAGCCTTTTCTTCTCAAGATCATCATCACTGATAACATCCTTGTGCGCCACTAGCATCAGGTCTGCCACCCTCTTCAGCAGCTTCAGTTTGCTGTTGAGTGCAGTGTTTGTACGGTGGAAAGCCACGCCATTGGTGATATCAATGCCGCGCTCATCAATCGTACAGCATCCTGAAGAATGCCGATATATGGCCCAGTAGCCTGTTGCGCTGGTAGCACTGTTTGTCCTGGCGACGAGCACCTACGTAGAGTGGAGCAGCGCGGAATGCATGGAGTTCAGCTTTGCTTGATTTCTTCCAGGGCAATTCTTTATTGCGATCTAGCAGTGCAAACCCCTGCTCCACCTCTGCCACCTTGAGCTGAGAGTTGGTTGGCTTCTTGGCACGTTCTTGAACTCCGGCTGTTGCATTGCATATCGGAAATGTGCCAGAGCAAGATGTCGGGTTATTGAATGTTTCAGTACACCATCAGTTTGGTGCCTTGGTGTCGCTCTTTCTGACCGTATTATCTAGTTACAGTGGCGGACAGTTGATCATAACTCGTGTCCATGTTTCCCTTCTTCCCTTCCTTCTACAATACTGCTGTTTGCTAAAACCTAAAAATGTTCTGTCTTGTCCTGCATAGGGGAAGGTGTTTCGCAACATTGTGACGAGATGTCGTGGCTTCTTACGAAAACTAAACCTGTACGGCTGTCAAGCTTTGCAAGATGCAGACCTTGTGTGAGTGGTAGTTTGGAGTGATTATATTACTACTTGGTTTGATGTACAATAGTGTATCAATCGTTCTGTTGAGGCTGGTGGCAGTGCATGATAATCCTGTTGTACTGCTAATGCCAATGCACAACTAGTGGTGGCCTGACACAAGCCGAAACACTGGTGACTCTGGAGCATGAAATACTGTCGCCAAAGTTAGCAATGCACTATTCTGCGACAAATGGTACGGTTGTAATTGTGATTGCATGAGTATGGTGCTGTATGATTGCATGAGTATGGTGCTGTATGATTGCATGAGTATGGTGCTGTATGATTGCATGAGTATGGTGCTGTATGATTGCATGATTAGGGTGCTGTATGATTGTAATAGGCAGCACCCATACTGAGCTGTATTGGAGGGTAGCCTGTGAATATCATGTGACCCCACACATCATCACATATTAGTTGCAGTTGACTGGCAGCTTTAAGTTTGGGCTTTTGGTTTACTGGTTGTCTATGAACTCTTGATTTTCAACAAATTATCCAAGGCGAGAGAAGGATGAATATATTAATTTTATCGTTGCGTCTGGTTAATAATAGGTTTTTACCCATCCTGGTGTATGGCATGTTGTATCACAAACAAATGCTATAATGCCCTGACAGGTGTTTTGTGTTTACCTGCTCCTTTTTCTGTAGCCCCTTCATAGGCCATTGCAGTCGATTGAAGGAACTTAACTTACAAGGTTGTTGTACTTTGACATCGGCGTGAGTTATGCCCGGATGCACCGTGAATATGCCCTTCTGAGCGGCTCATTAGGATCATTTCCGTTTTTGAAACTGACTTGTGCATGCATAACATGAAGGATGTATGTAGATAACTTGTCCTATTCAGCCTGAGGGTCATTCCAAAGTCAAATACACTGCCATTGTCATTGTTTTCACTTTCCGCCTGTGCATAATCCACAACAAAAGTGTTGGCATCCTTGATGATAATGCTCTCAGACTTCATTAGAGCCGGAGTGAACAGAATTACCTCCATTAGAATGTTGGCATTTGGTCAGCCATGCACTTGTTGGCTGAGTAGGTGTTTGTCGAGGAATCACAATCCACATTCAACCTTGCTGGGGCACATACAATGTAGCATCCACTCGTGATCAGTTCTTGGGATACATCATTCAGGGGTCCCTAGTGTCTATTGTAAGCTACAAGTAGATACGACTAATCTTGCCTTCACAGTACATGTTGTTACATGTTGTTGGTTTTACATTCTCTCTATTACCGGTTGTGAAGCTACGAGAGTATTGGTTACCAATTGTCATACAAGGTTTGTGAATGTTCCCATGATCAACATCATCTCTCCTCGGTGTGATGTGTCTTGCCGTGTGTATTGATGGTGAATAGATCAATATCTGAAATGACGAAGCACTGTCATGACTTGGTGCGTCTTAATGTGTCGAATGGACCTGTGGTCGACGATGCAGCGTGCACAGCGATTGCGTGAGTACAGCATTGTATGGTTGCACAGTTATGGTTTTCACGCCGATGTGTGTGTGATATGGTCGCTGTTTGAGTGTATGATTCTGTGCACCTGCGTTCCTATATTATGGTGTCGGGGATGAGAGCTTGCAATGTGTATGATGTGTGTGATGTGTGTGATGTGTGTGATGTGTGTGATGTGTGTGATGTGTGTGATGTGTGTGATGTGTGTGATGTGTGTGATGTGTGTGATGTGTGTGATCCACTGACCAACATTTGTAATACCTACAATGTATGTACATGGTCCGCGTCAGCCATATTGTCGCTTATCTTTCAGCTTTGTTTATATGTCGCCAATGCTCACTTGGCAGCCCATTTCATCCCAATTTTGGTTAGCAAGTTAGTTTACTAGTACCTGAAAGGTCTATCTAGAGTTCGAGTGGATTTCGAGAGCGACGGGTGGGTGATTCTGATTGATACAGCGCCGCATCAAAATAGATTATCTTGTTACGCTGTGCAGGCAAGAGCAGCGCAAGCCACAAGAAAGTAATCGGCTACTCGGAATCAGGTCCATTTTGCTGAACGGCCGAGATCGCTCACCTCAGTGATCGCTCGTCAAGCTGAGAATCACTGAGATCGCAGCTCCCTTACCTCCAGCTCAACGCTCGGAGTATCCAGTGCGACGTGGAGATTTGCAAGTACTGTACGCGTCGTCGTCGTTGTTCAAAATAAAATCTTGCAAAGAACGGCGTCTGATTTGAACCACACAGGCTGTCGTGCTGCCCACGCGAAGTCCTATAGAGAAGGCGACCGTCACAATCGACTTCTCTTTAGAAAATAGCCAGGCAGTGGAGAGGAAGAGAGATGAGCTTCCAAAAGCAAGAGAGTCGATCCCGAATAAAAATATTTGTCACCAGCGCCGAGAGCAGCGACGAGGAGGACCGAAAAAAGTATGAACCCTTCCTTGGACAATTAATTCCTCATAGCTAGTTGTCATTCTAAACCGGAACGTCCATCGTACCAAGTTTTATCACTTCAAGTGCACCCGTTGGTGTCCAAAGTCTAAGTTCAAATTGTCGAAAGATAAGCGACAATATTGCTGACGCGGACAAAGTACTACGAATACATCCGATTAAGATCAGGTTTGGAGATAGAGCCACATTATGGTGATAGATACACAGGGGTCATGTGGTAGTATCTATGCAGGCTCAGTGTATGTAATGCATCCAGTCCTATGTGTGATGTGTTAATAGAGCCAGTACTGCTGGTGGTATGCTGTAGACGGGTACCAAAGGTTACATAAAAATGGTCAAAAATGAACAGACAAACACAATACGTTCAGCAAGCGGACATAAAACAGAAGGGATAAAATGAGTGATACGGTATGTCTTCATGCGCCCTATAGCTCGTTCGAAATGGATTCTGACGGCGGCAATCCAACGTGTGTCGATGACCTCTTGTTGCTTGAGTTGGTCCCGAGGAACGATGGAATGCTCACCTCAACGCCGTTAGGTAGGAGAGGGGCAATGTCAAACCCACGGACGGCCATACCCGCATCCACATTTTGACCACGGTCAGCAAAATCTCATCTATGAACAGTGCACGAGGACGGCCAAGGGCATCAGTTACAGGAAGTCAGCTGGAATTGATCGTGCATTTCTTATGTTCTCAACTCCATTTCTGACCAGGAGTAGCATGTTGTCAAACTGAGCAACATTCAGGCCAGTGTGGAATAGAAATCGGGCTGCATCGGCATGCAATGTGTTATAGCTTAGCCGGCGTTTCTCCAGTTCTTCTCTACACTCAGATACCTGGTGCTTCCCAAGTAGTTCAACCTCATGTCTCAGCTTGTCCACTTCCTGGCGAAGTCCCCGCACAGTGACCTCACTGAGAGCAGCCATAGCATCATAGGCATGCTCTCAGATATGACTGGTGACTGGCCCATTGTCTTTAGGTGCACTGGAATCTTCAGAAATGTCCATGGGGACAGGAACATGCTTTTTCACGGTGTCTTTGCTGACACGGGTGGAGCGCTTTGCAGCGACTGGTTGGCTCAAGAAAAGAGTCAGCTCGTCAGCATGACATGGGTGGCCGGCAAGAAAATGGACGCCGCGCACTTCTGAATATTTTGACAAAGGAGTATTCTTATATTCTCACGAGGAATTTTCGCAAGCCATTCTAACCTCGCAGCTCGGCGACTATCCCAGTCCTGAGCCGGTGGAATGAAACAGACTTTCAAATATCTGCAGCTCCACCACAGCCAACTCGAGTGCTTGCAGATCCACATTAACGCCTTTTCACCCAAACTTTACGTTCGGATGCAATAACATCCTCACTCTCGAACAGACCAAATTTACAGCTCTTCCTACGATTCAAACAGCCAGGGGAGATGCAGTGGGAATTACTTGTCATGACAATCAAATGCATAAAGGGAACACAAGGATCAGCAAGAACTACCGCGGAAACAATGATGAGCAGAACGCAAATACTACAAACATACCGCTAGAGTCTAAGCGGCATTGTCGACAAGGCAAGTCTAAATAGTTGCCCCGCACACACAAAACGCGGGATAATAATGCATGAACCTCATTACTGTGCTTGTGTGCCGTGTGTGTGTGTGTGTGTGTGTGTGTGTGTGTGTGTGTGTTGATGTGTGTATTTAGGTCTGGATGCAAGCGTCTGGAGCACTTGGACCTGGCTTGGTGTGCACGAATGTCGGAAAGCGGTGTTATCACGCTGGTAAAGGAGCTCACCAGGATAACATCACTCATCCTGAGAGGCTGTACTGGGGTAAACTAATCTACTGTGTTGTCTGTGTTGTACCGTTGCTTAGAGCCGAGAGGCGATAGAAGCTGTTGGTTGAGTTCTGCAAATGCTATACATCTGAGCGTACTGTTCCATGCCCAATTCAGGTTGGCTGGAGGGTTGGCCCACTACCAGCATTGCATTGATCATACCCAAGTTTAAAGGGGAACTGTCACCAAAAAATTTCTTTGTCTTATCTTGTAGTTCTTTGGCTCCTGATCACGATGGTGTCATTCGTTTTTCTCTGCGATGACTGGAAGTGGGTGAAATTTTGAAAAGAAGGTGCCCGAAATTGTCCCGAAGTACCGAGTGACGTCACGCCGGACTTGAGACCTCCACGCGTACTTTCATCGTCAAAAACGAAGTCCAGCCTGTGTGCTGGTCGATCTAGCCAACTGTTCGATGTACGGTGCACGCTTGCCTTCTGAGCTCGGACGCTCGATGTGTACGTTGTACACAATGAGAACGCAAAAAAGGGACAGAATAAACAAAAGTCGACAGCAGTTTGTCGCACTGGTATTTCCTCCACGAAGCTCCAGCTCTTTGTTTTATTTGTGATTACGAAGGAGTGGAAGGATGTTTGTTTGCTTTTAGTGTGACACACATACCTCGTACTTGAAAGTGATGTCGTTGTATCGAAGGTGGCGATGTTGCCCACCCGGCTCTGAAATGAAAGACGTAGGAGTTTGTCATCTGCATCTTCAGCAACATCGCCAGATGAATCGCCTTCACGTAACTACATTGCGTCCCTTTGGGGCTCGGTTTGGTGGTGTTATCGCCGGCCGGAGGAGTACTGTTTTCTGCATACGCACTCATCATCGTGTTGTTCCTCACACGAAAAGTTCAAAACAACGACGTACCTCCGTGCTCACAAAAATAAAACAGATCCTCGCGGAAGAAGTCAAAAAGGTGAAAGCTCAGCTGCTTTTTATTTTGATTTGGCTGTGTAGCTGCACGTGGGTCTCTGCCTCTTTGGCATTCTCCTTCGGTACGACGTACCCATCTGTGTTACAGTTCAAAAAGGCACACGTGCGCCGTACATTGGAACAGCTAGCTCGATCGACGAGCACACGGGCTGGACTTCGTTTTTGACGACGAATGTACGCGTGGAGGTCAAGTCCGGCGTGACGTCACTCGGTACTTCGGGACGATTTTGGGCGCCTTCTTTTCAGGTTTTCACCCACTTCCAGCCATCGCAGAGAAAAACGGATAACACCATCGTGATCAGGAGCCAAAGAACTACAAGATAAGACAAAGATTTTTTTTGGTGACAGTTCAAGATAAGATAAGACAAAGATTTTTTTGGTGACAGTTCCCCAGGCGATTTTGCCTGCTGCTCTGAATGCTCGATCATTACAGATTTGGACAAAGTAGTGCCAATAAAGTGTCTAAGCCGGTGGCGTTTAGAAAAAAAGAGCTAAAAATGTATCGGTTCCTCTTGGCAATGCAAGCTATCATTAAAAATGAGAGCATGAACTCTGTTACAACTCGTGCAAATATTGTCGTGACTGTAGTTGGTCAGGTGTCTTTCTATCGTCATAATTGTGGCTAGTCTTTCTATCTGCTTTGTAACCCCAACACATCTAGGCCGTGAATGATGCTTCGATGAAGGCTATTGGTGAACACTGCCCACAGCTCACGGTGTTGGATGTGTCCCACATTCCAGTAAGTCAGTCAACCTATACACATGTATACACGGTAGTTTTGACCTGTCAAGATGCTGCCGGCTGTTCACCACTATGTCCTAATGAAATACGGCTAGTTATATTATTGTTTCAGTCGTTTGCCATTGTTTAGTTTGAGATGCAAGGTGTGTGACTGTTGTGACTTATTGATTGTGCATGCCTTGTTTGCCTTGTTTGCCACGGTTGCCACGGTTTCCACAGCACACTCTGTTTGATCCCGGTATTGGCCATATTGCTGCCGGTTGTAAGCATTTACGTCACATCAACCTGTCTATTTCAACACAGCTTACTGAGCAATCACAAATGTTTTTAGCCGAGCATTGTCATGAGCTACGGTAAGCAAACTGGAACCCGAATACAGCACCATTTGAACCCTATTCTGTGCCGCCATAATGTGAGTGAGTGTTCGGTTTAGTCATGATTGTTCTCTCCATTCTGGACCGAATCATATTTGATACATGAAATTTGTATTATGGCAGAGCGAGATTCTTACAGCTGTGTTTTTGTCATTACAGAAGCGTTATACACGTTGTAGCTGCTTTGAACACAGCCGTAATGGCCTTAATCAAGTGGGGAAGCGGTGTTTGGAATTGGCTGTGCTGCCCTACCCGCACCTGAACCCACCTCCCATAGTTACCTCTCACACCCCAGCTATGAAGAATGCGTGGCAGCTCCTTGGTGATTGGTGCATTGTTTTGAGGCAGTTTGGCAAACCTTTCTATGTTGCTAGTTACTGCTATACATGAAACACAGAAGCCATTGTAGTTTCAACTAGGCCTTGTTGTACCATTGCATTTCAAGTCGAATACAATGGTGATCATGGCAACAAGCAAGAAGTGTATTCGACTTGAAAAGTCATGGTACGAAAGGCCTAGTCGAAACTATAATGGCTTCTGTGCTTCGTGTGCTGATTTGTCCCCCTACGACCAAAAATCTATTACTGCTATACATTTTGAAACTCAGATGTCATTGAGAAACTCCGATGTTGAGCAAATAAAAAATAGCGAAAGAAAAGGAACGTATGGATACGAGTAAAGAGTAACTGTCCACCACTGTAATTAGATACTATATACAGTCAGAAAGTGCAACAACTAGGCACAAAACTGACAGAGTACTGAGACATTCGACGACCTGACACCTAGATGTTGTGTGCCTATTCTCTCTCTTAATCCATTGAGTGACTGTAACCACTGAGGACGGTGAAACGTTCTCGATCAACTTTATCTGATCCAACACATCTCCGAAGCACTAACCAACAGCCTTCCAACTTGGAAGGTTCTAGGTTGAAGGGAGACCAAAGAGGGGGGGGGGGGGGGGGGGGGGAGGTAAGCCCAACGAAAATGAGCACAAGCTTAAGTCCCACGGGAAAAAAAGAATATTGATTGTTACTGGACGATGATGAGATACTTGACGAAGAAGTCTAACTACAATTTGAAGCAGCAAAGCAGCACACCACCCAACTTGGGTCGCTCAGAAATATCAAAGATAAGTACAGAAGGCGAAGCTTGGCGTTCGGTTTTGTACAATTCTTTTTCGCAAAGCTTCCCCTTCTGTACTTATTTTTGATATTTCCGAGCAACCCAAGTTGGGTGGTGTGCTGCTTTGCTGCTTCGAATTGAAGTAAGACCGCTTTTCAAGTATCTTACTGGTCTCGTCATCGTCCAGTGGAAATCAACATTCTTTGTTCTCGTGGGACTTTAGTTTGTACTCATTTTCATTGGGCTTACCTTCCCCTCTTTGGTCTCCCCTTAATCTAGAGCCTTCCGAGTTGGAAGCCTGTTGGTCAGTGCTTCGAAGATGTGTTGGAGCTAGGTGTCAGGTTGTCGAATGTCTCTGTACTCTGTCAGTTTTGTGCCTAGCTGTTCTGACTGTATATGAATTTTCACAGTTGTTGTCTTCATCCTGGTATACCACTCATATCTTCCCTTCTTTCTGCAGTACTGTAGAAGTAAGTTTGTGCATACACATGACGGCACGAGGGTTTCAAGCTCTGTTTGCAGTAAGTGCAGGTTGGTATGATGACTTCACGTTTTGACGGTATGATGACTTTAAGGTTGGTATGATGACTTTAAAAGTTGGCAAACTGTTCTTGATAACATGGTCAAAATTCTAACTTCAGATATTATCATTGAATACTGCACCTCTGAAACATCACAAACAGCTGATCATTTTTAGCATTGGGCTTGAGTAGTAGCCTGTGAATGATGACACTCTCACGGTATCACTGTATCAGTGGTGTGCCGCAATGCACTTGAATTCCTGTTACCTGACCCAGATCCTGTATGCATGTGTACATTCTATTCAGGGCTATTTAGACTGCCTAGAGTGTCTAGACTGGGGGATCAAGCACAACACACGTACATGTGTGTAGGTCTAACAGTAGCACAACACACGTACATGTGTGTAGGTCTAACAGTAGCACAACACACGTACATGTGTGTAGGTCTAACAGTAGCACAACACACGTACATGTGTGTAGGTCTAACAGTAGATTGCTACTGTCAAGAATATACCTAGGTCCTAAGAAATCTGGTTTGTTGAAGTGCTCAATGGCAAAAATAAGAGAAAGCACATCAGATCATGGCTGCTAACCAGAGGTTGAGAGAGATCAGGCAGGATGTGAGATGAGCATGATATGCTTGGACAATAGAGTATGTAGCATTGAAACAGTGCAAGTTAGCGATAGAGGTGCATGGTCTCTGTCACTGAAGTGGCAAGCCTATTGCTTGCTTTAGCTAATGGGTATGTGTTTGTTGCATTGTGCAGGGATGTCCAGGTCTCCAACGCCTGGATATGGAGGAGTGTTATGAAATCACTGATGCTACAATCAGAAAACTAGGTCAAAATTGCCATGGTTTGAGATGGCTGGTAAGTCGGCGGATGACGAATTGATGCAGTGCAGTGCATACTAGGCTGGTACATTGCAACTCCAAGTATGAACCACTCAGTCCTGGGAAGTCTACACCCACCATGCATCATCGTCTTCAACCCACACTAATCAACGGTAATCCAGTCTTTTCTATGCTATGAATGGAGAACTGAGTAACGTTTAGATAAGCAATACATGTACCTCCTGAAAATGCAGCATTGAATGCTAAACTTGTGTTGCCCCCCCCCCCCCCCCCCCCCCGCCCTCCTCCTCATCCTCATCCTTACTTGGTCCAACAGCACACCACCTTGACTAGCTATCTATCACCCTATCCAGCTAATCACTGTGTGTGTGTGTGTGTGTGTGTGTGTGTGTGTGTTTGTGGAATGTGTGCGGGCATGTACACGGCTGTAAACATGCGAGTGTGTGCATGCGCGCACGTGCACACACTATTGTGCACATATGTGTGCATTTGTATGTGTATGTGTGTGTATGTGTGTGTGTGTGTGTGTGTGTGTGTGTGTGTGTGTGTGTGTGTGTGTGTGTGTGTGTGTGTGTGTGTGTGTATGTGTGTATATGTGTGTGTGTGTGTGTGTGTGTGTGTGTGTGTGTACATTTGTGTGTGTGGACGTGTGTATGTATACGCGTGTCGTATTCTGCTTTCCCCTATGTGGCGGTGTGACTGCAGAGTATCAGTCACTGTGTGCATGTCACTAACTATGGAATAGAGTGTCTAGCGCACACTCCCTGTCGCAAGACCTTGCAAGTACTGGAACTGGATAATTTGCCACTCATCACTGACAGTGTCACAGAATTTTTGATGTAAGCCTCGGCGGTGCTGGGTAATAACTGAATAGGTTGGCTCTTGCACAGATCATACAAAGCAGCATTCCTAATGTGGCCGGGGTAGCAGATTCCTATCAGCTTGCGTAGTTGTCTCCTGGGAAATCTGTCTACAGTCCGTTCATCGGAAATAGTCCCCCGCTGGCCTTTGAATGTCCGATTTGGGCCGATTTGAGTATCAAAAACCCACTTTAAATCTCAAAATCTGGGTTTGGGATCTGCTTTTCCACACATTTTTGCCATGGCATACCAGTCCTAATTTGGTAAATCCTGGCTGAATTTCTATTTCCCTGTTCTTGGACTTTTCTGGCCTCAAATGTGGCAAGGAGTAATTGCATGGGTCAGACAATGCAGGATGTACTGTTGTTTTCACGATATCTACAACTATGTGCGGGAGATACCAAAGAGTTTTAAAGGTGCCAGTTTCCAATGAATAGACTGTACTTGGTCCGGCTCATCGCAATTGTCGCTTATCTATCGCCACTAGGAACAGGCGTTTTGTTGCCGCTCTGTGAAATTTTCAATAGGCATAGTGAGGAAGCATGACACATGAATACTCTCCGCTACATGAAAAAAAATTCAGCCATGGAATCAGGTGAAGCGAGTCATAGAAGGGAAGCAAGGTAAGCAAAATGCACGAAATAAATCAGCGAAGGAGCGCGTTTTGTACTCACACTCTTACAGGTCCAGAGTTCATTCAACTCTCCATCACTTGAGCTGCCGCCGTTACATGAGCTGACACTAGATTGCTGATGTCTAGCTGCTAGCGTAGACTGGTAGAGTATCTCTTACTTTGTCAGCCTGTCGTATGGCAGCAATGGGAAAGGAACAGTTGTGTCTGTCACTTCGGTCCTTGAAGGAATCGTGGGCAGTGTGACCTGTGTGTCACCACAGTGTGTTTCAACAGAGCCTTCGAATGAGGCACACATGCCTCTCCAGACAGCTGTCATACGCTCCACTGGATACGCTGAGACATTCTTGTAATGCTGCTGCCAGGTCCACGAAGGAACAACCAAAACGACCAATCGCATGCGCGCATCGCATCGAAAACACCTTTCTTCATCAGCATGACGCTGTGCACACGTGCCTGTCACACTCTCCAGGATGTACCGGATGTCAGTTGCCCCTGCTACAGTTCCGGTCTTCGGCTGCGCTTGGCATTTGGCAATACAGACAGTGAAAGGCCAGATTTCCACTTCTCAAAAAAGTCGAACACATCGCGATTCAAAGCGCTAGTCGCGATCATTTTTTCTTTGGTGCCTCATTTGATCTTGCCATCACAACAGTCCAAGCAAAAGTAAGTTAGATATCGTGATTGGACTGGGTTTTACCTGTCAAAAAGTGAGTGGGAGATAAGCGACAAAATTGCGATGAGCCGGACCAAGTAGTTGTTCTCACCAGTGCCCTCTTCATGACACCGCAGCGCAGCCAGAACAGTTGTAGAAGATGGCCGGCAGCACCAAGGCCTTGTCAATCCATAGCCTTTATCCACGATTGCCTAGTAATGGGAACCGGCTCTGAAAGGTGTGTGTGTGTGTGTGTGTGTGTGTGTGTGTGTGTGTGTGTGCGTGTGTGTGTGTGCGTGTGTGTGTGTGTGCGTGTGTGTGTATCTGTGTGTATGTGTGTACATGTGTATGTGTGTACATGTGTATGTGTGTACATGTGTATGTGTGTGTGTGTGTATGTGTGTGTATGTGTGTATGCATGTATGTGTGTGTATGTGTGTACATGTGTATGTGTGTGTATGTGTGCATGTGTGTGTACATGTGTGAATGCCATGTTATCCAGGCGGTTTCCTCGACTGCAAAGAGTGGACCTGTATGACTGTGGTGGCATTACTCGAAACGCAGTGGATGCATTGCAGGTAAGGCATCACGCTGCATCCAATCCTGTGCAGCCTCCTGTCTCAGAAACACTGAGGAGCAGACATTGTGGGAGCATCCCTGATCGGTCCAGCATCCCTATTCAGTCATGTATTAATTGACCTGATCATCATTGTTGTCTGAGAATTGGTGGATAGCCATGAAACTCTGTGTAACAGTATACAGTCAACTTTGCGTATAATGACACTCGACGGGGCATCAGAAAAGTGTCCTTATTCGCGAAGTGTCCTATACCCGAAGTCTCATTATATGTATTACAGTTAGATGGGACTTTTGCTCTGGGCATGGAAATTTTGGCGCTATTCGCGAATAGTCGTTATATCCACAGTGGTTATTAGCCAAGTTGACTGTTACATCGTACTTCAGGCTAGTTGCAGTGCTAACTTGTGTCCTTTGGCTCTGCCCTCGTGACGGTATTGAGCCACGTTTTGCAAGGATTAAGGACCATAGTTTGTACAGTTGACTTCTGCTCTTTGTTTTCTGTTTGTACTGCAGGAGCGTGCGCCCGGGCTTGCCGTACAAACGTACTTCGCTCCGTCGCTGCCTTCCCTGGAAATGCAGGAGCTTGCAGAGGATGGTCAGGGCCGTCGTCGTCGCCGTCGAAGGTGTGGATGCAGTAAGGCATGCTGTGTGATTCAGTAAGCACCTCCGCTACTACTGTTGTGTTTGCGAATCATGGGCTAGAAATGGCCTACTCCCGTGACGTAGGCATGACACTGCCTGCTGTGTTCATATCAGAGATCATATCTACCCGGCTATTCCATGTACTGCATTATCTGTTATGATGGCACAGGATCAATTCTGCACATACTACAAAGTATACCATCATAATTCTAAGCTTGACCGAAGACTATAATTATTTCCTGTTGTTCACATGGTAAAGCTGGGCCGTACCTGCTTTTGCTGTTCATATTGAATTTCATCTCTGGCATCCTGTCCTGACAGCGTCTATAACCACTGTTCTAGTCTAACTCACAACTAAATTGAGATCTTCTCTCTGACCTATTTTTTTTCGGTTGAAACTGAGCAGTACTTACCCACGGTGGAATGCTTCATTGCACAGTGTGATTGTATGCTGAGCTAAGCAAGAACTACACTGATCATGACTATACTCTCAATTAGTTATACGTTTGTTGTTGTACCGTTATCTCAGATCTATCATCTACTGGTAGACTCTGGTGGAGAGCCAAGGATTAATTTATAAGAAGAAATGAGGACCAAGGAACTACAAGTTACGCTATAATGTCCACTAAATTACTTTACAATCAGCTCATGTGATAACATTGCACGGAACTGACCAACGGTACTGACGTTCTACACCTAACTGGCAATCAGCTCAAGCGCATCTTAGTTTTGTCTGATGGTTTTGCCTGTATCATCTTCGACATACATGCCCATCCACCGACGTCCTTCACAGCTGAGACTCAATTCAGCTCGTGCCTATCTTGGTTGCGCTCACCTTCCCCTGCTATGTTATTTCTAACTTAGAACCGTCCAAGCTGGAAGGCTGTTGGGGTGCGCATCCGAGACACGCTGGAGCTGATTGCCAGTTAGGTGTAGAACGTCAGTACCGCTCGTCAGTGCCGTGCAATGTTATCGCAAGAGCTGATTGTCAAGTAACGGGTGGTGTTAGTGGACATTATAGCGTAACTTGTAGTTCTTTGGTCATCATTAATTTTCTTCTTATAATTATGTCATCAACTGCTAAGACTTAGCGTGCGATGTGCACTGTAGGCTGTGCACTGTAGGCTGTAAGTGTAGCTTGTGGCTGTCTCACTGCTGTACATTATCTAGCATTGATTGTATCATCTATTGCATCACCGATTTCAAGATCTATTGCATCACCGATTTCAAGATCTATTGCATCACCGATTTCAAGATCTATTGCCAGGAAATGACCTTATCACACTGCTGTACACCCTGTACAAATGCCCATGATCTGGGTACGCCACTGATCATTCTACCCATAGCATCGACATCATTGGCAGCCATCTGTCTGACCTACTCTATTATAACATAACGTTATGCTGCTCATAACTGTGTATGTTCATGGTTGTCTTCCTACACCTTTGCCTTTGCAGATACTCTGAGCAATTTGTTCACAGCTATCCGTTGCTCCCCCCTGACGGCCAGCATCTTCCTTCACATAGTAGTGCACACTAGTGCCTTTTTTCTGGTGGGCCTGATCTCCTCACCTCCCACCGCTTTAGGAGCTGCATCTGCGCATTGATCCTTGAAGGGTGGTGGCGTTCCTACGGATGCGGAAAACTCGGCCCCTAGCCGATGCTGATGCGAGGCGTGATATTTTTTAGTGCCGTTAGCAGTTTAGGTATAGCAGATTGAAAATCTCGGGTGAAACATAAAAAATCGAGGAGTTTCGGACGCTGCCCCCCCCCCCCCCCCCCCCCCTCCTAGAATGCCAGTACAGGGGGGTCATACCATTCGGATGGTCACTTTCACACTGTTCTCAAATGCCTGCTGTTATTGTATCCTAGCCGAGACATGCATGATCTACTGCACAACTCAAGTACTGAAGTACTGTCTGGACTGTACTGTAGTCTGCCTAGCTAGGCGCTAACCTAGCCTAGCCTAGCTTGTCTAGCAACTAGCGTTGCCATGGCAGTGTGGTGTTAGTTGATCAAACATGTAATTGTTTGTGGGGCAGGGAATCTCAATGACTACATAATGCGCTAGCGCTACTCCAGTCTGTAGCTAGCTAGCCAGCCAAGTGTCAAAGCTGTTGATATGGTGGTAAGACTAAAAGTAAAAAAGTAAAAGAGCTGAGGCCAGTGAGGGTTGAACGACCAACTCCTGCAGCAAGTCCTTGCCTTGTTACAATCTAGACTCAGACTCTAGTCTAGACCTAGCCAGTCAGCAGGGTTAGTGTAGATGTTAAAGCTAAGTATTTGCTACACGCTAGGTTTGATGTAGGGGTAGCCATGGTAGCAGGTGCATGTGTTTGCGCAGGTGCTGTCGTTAGAAAGAAGGCGAAGCTGTTTTGATTTTTTCAAATGAATGGTGAGGAACGACAGTCAACTAGCTATAACTCAGAGCCCATGCCCAGTTGACGTTTGGCAGGATGAAGTAGCAAGTTCTGATTTAGACTTTTACAGACACGCGTATACTGCATGATCAGTGCATGCCGACACCAAACTCTACAGGGACCGGGATTCGCAGTAGCCGCAGAATCAATGCCTCTGGTCCGAGTCGATAATGTCTCCTCCAGCAGTAAGAAAGAAGCCAGTAGCGATACCTCGCCTGTCTCTTATCAGCATGGGCAATTGTGGAGTGGGAAAAGTAAGTATTCCTTGTTCCGCCATGTTCTCAGCAACGTGCACAGCGCTACAGAAGAGCGAGCGCCTGAGGTGGCGATAATCTCGCAATGACTGCCTGTTATTAGACTAAGGAATCATACAACTGAGCTTCAGGCTCTGTACACCCAACATTCCATGCAAACTTTCATTGCCTTCTCTTCAGGCGGATACCATGGATACCATGGATACAGGCAGTAGAAGAAACTAACCAGCACAAAGTTATTCCTTAGTCTGATTGCAAAGAATACTACTTCTTTACTAGTAATAGTAGTATCATGTGTTCATTTATGCACTGTGTAGCCACACCAGGGGTGTTGGAACCACCGGTTAAGGGGGGGGGGACCACCACCCCCCCCCCCCCCCCCCCCCCCCCCCGCCTCTTCATGGCCGCACCAATGTCGAATACCTTCCGACACCTCTGCACGCTCTCGTCTTGTACAATGTATTACGGATGTTCACTACACCTCGATACATGTACAATGTAGGAACGCAACCACTGTACTAGTATACTGTACCTCATCTGTAGGCCATCCTCAGAAAACAAGCTGCACCATGTACCTATGTAGATCTATAGCTAGTAGCCCAAAGCCGGCATGAGATGATCCAGTCAGTAGAGTGATCAGGTCACAGCTCCCAGGCCAAAGATGCTGCACTTACCATGCTTACTGTGACTTTGTGATGGTATTGCAACTCATTATACCCATGATAAGTTTTCCATAGCTGATCCATGCAGCTGTAGTGTTCACTGCCACACAATACTAGTACTACTAGGGCTGAAACTATCGTGGATTTTCACCTATCGATTACTCTGTTTCGAAAGCTAGGCCTTCATAATACCAAAAATCTGCATATTCACAGTGGAAACTGATTCAAACTTCACAAAAACGAGGGTTTCAGTACCTTTTGGACTCAAAATCCCTAACGAGTAACTTAGTCTATAACGCAACGATTACTTGATTGATAAGGAATTATCGATCGTTTACCGAGTAATTGGTATAATCGTTTCAGCCCTGCACAATACCCATTAGGCTGCAGGTACTGTGACGGAGGCCATGATTAGAGTGACATGATACAGTGGACTGGCTGGCTGATACTGTCAGCTCTCAGCATGACACTCAGTAACCCAGTCACAGCTATACAGCTTTGTTTGCCCTTGTCTCCATGAGCCTCTGAGAGTGAAATGATACAGTGTGCATCCTCCAGAGTCCTGGCTGGTACAACACAACACTGAGCAATCCATAGGCCAAGAATGACCACCGAAATTGAGAATGAACAATTCATGTTCATTTAGTAGTTACTGCTTTTCCTGGTTGGTAGCACATGCAGCACTTAGTCACTTAGTGGTACTTCCAACTACATGTACTTGTCTGGTGGCTGGCCCGGTGATACGCTGTAAATCCACATGTAATTGAGATCTTCAGGCAACTAGTGTACTAGTGAAATATTTACAAGATGTGAAAGTGCTTGGGCATGGAAGCATGCAGCCGATGCTGGTGATGATACAAGTCCACTGAACCACTGCTCTCACTTATTGGTTTCTGGTTTGCCGGGGGGGGGGGGGGGGGGGGGGTGATGTTGAGCGTGAGGAACTGAGAATACAGTCACAGTCTGCCAATGGAATATGCATGTACATGATTGTATGTGTGCTGCAAAACATGATGCAAACAAACTGCGAGTGAATGCGGCGTACAGAGCAAGTGCCGTCCGTTTATGGTGGAGCATGCATTCACCATTGCCTAATTGGTCCTTCAATCTCTTCGGTTAAAATAGGCAATCGCTACCTTACGGGTCTGTGCCCATCCACCGGCAATTGACAGGGGTTGAGTGGGTGATATCTCGATGATGGGAGGGGAACTTTCGCAGTGTAAATTGATAGCACCTTAAACTGCTCTTCAATCCAGTACAAGCCTGACAAACACTTAAAAATCATCTTGTTACCACTTTATGTTTACACTGTAAACATTTCATTGTATTCTAAGTGTTCATTGGTGTGTGTGTGTGTGTGTGTGTGTGTGTGTGTGTGTGTGTGTGTGTGTGTGTGTGTGTGTGTGTGCGTGTGTCACTTCACGTTTACACTGTAAAAATCTCATTGTGTTTTAAGTGTTTCTTGGAGTGTGCATGTGTGTGTGTGTGTGTGTGTGTGTATGGGGGGGGGGGGGGGGGGGGGGGGTGCGTACCTGCGGGCATGTGTGTGTGTGTTCGTGTTGCTAACATGATCATATTGCCAAAAGGCCACTGACCCTTCACTGCTGCTAACACTGTGTGTGTCTCTCCATTGTTGTCGGCATTGCCACTCACAGAGCTGTATCATTAAACGCTACTCGGAGCAAGTCTTTGTGTCACGTTACTCGCCAACCATCGGAGTAGATTATGGCGAGATGCAGTGAGTCACTGTCTGTGTATGTGTGTGTATGTGTGTATGTGTGTGTGTGTGTGTGTGTGTGTGTGTGTGTGTGTGTGTATGTGTGTGCGTGTGTGTGTGTGTGTGTGTGTGTGTGTGTGTGTGTGTGTGTGTGTGTACGCGCATGTATGTAGTATGTTTATATTATTGCACGATTAAAGAGGTCAATATATGAAATATAGAACGAGTAAAAGACCGAGGTCCCCCGAGGTCTTTTACGAGGTCTATATTTCATATATTGACCGATTATGAGGGCAATAATAGATTTATCACGACATAGCATACCTAAAACTGGTTTTGCTTTGCTATAGGAAGAAAGGAATACTATTGTAATATTTATATATTATATTTATATTCGGGTATCACGCTCCTCGGCTTTCGCCTTGTTGAGCACTCTTAGTAGGCTGCTCTAGTGCTGCTGCATCGCGCAATGCCCGCTACTTTTTGTAGTTTGAGCCCTCTGGCGCTAGAGCGACGAGCTATCTTAATGTCTGTGGTGCCTCCTTTGCACCATGGCTGGTAGCTCGGCCTATTTAGCTCGTAGCTGTACTGATGAGGCCTTCATGGCCGAAACAGCTTGCTGTCTACAGCATTGGGTATTATATTTATATTTATATTTATTTCACCTTCCCGTGGCCAGAGAATATAGGCCAATATGGAGGGAGGGGGGCGGTAGCCAGCCATGGCAGTAAACAAAAACAAAGCAAATAGTATAATAGTATGTACATATGCCGTTTACATTGGACATTACTTCTGTGTAAACAGAAGTTTTCAGTTGTCTCTTGTAGTATGTTCCCCAAGTAAGTTCTTTGACTGAGAATCTGACAGTTTGGGTTCAAATCCCAGCATTTGGCTTCAGATTTTTCTTCTTTCAGTTCTGATTTTTTTCTTAAGTTGAGGAAAAAGTTCTAAGTCCTCGGGCTAAGTGGTCAATAATAAGTGGTCAATATAAGCGGTCAATATATGCTGATATTTGACCGCTTAGAGATCACAAGTTTCTGTGGGGGTCAATAATAAGGGGGCGTTCGTTTTTGATCTACAGGTTTAGGTAGAAACTACTTCTTTCGGTAGAGGTGTTCGTTTTTTGAAAAAAAAATTCTACTCAAAAGGGTAGATTCTACTTTCCTCTACCGGCTCTACCGGGAAAAAGTTGGTAGAATCGGGTAGAAGTTGGTAGAGCTACGGGATTTCCAGCAAGATCAAGGATTTGTACACAACTCCATAAAAAAAAAGAAACATTTCACGTACACATCGTGTAAACTACTAGATCTGGTGGAACAGCGTTCGTACACTTGCCTCTACCATCTACCTCTATCAGTAGAGTGACTCTACTCTACTCTACCAGGTAGCTAAAAACGAACGCAGCCTAAGAGAGTGATAAATGTGCTTACATGTATGTATGACCCAGCCGGAAAATGGAGAACATCACTGAGGGAGAGAGAGAGAGAGAGGGGGGGGGGGGGGGGATCAGTACCAAGTGGTGGTATACTGGAAGAACAATAGCTCTAGGTGCGTTGGAAGGTGCCGACACCTAGTGGTGATTTGCCAACACCTAATGGTAGTTTGCACACATCTAATGGAAATACCGTATTTCCCCGATTATAAGTCGCACCCCCATTTTCAGGTTTGAGCAATATTGTTTCGATATCTTCACTTCAGTAGTAAGGCATGCTTGATTGTAAGTCGCAACCCCGTTTTACCCTGTTTATTTTAGTGTAAAAAGGTGTAAGACTTATAGTCGGGGAAATACGGTAAGGATCCTTGCAGAGTTTGCTAATCCCCTTATCCAAAGAACAATCACCATAGTAACACTTACACACAATTCCAAAGCAGAGCCGCAGTGTCACCGGGTACGCCTTCAGAAGCCAAGTTCACCTGCAATTGGTAGATGGTGTCGTTGAGTGACTGTGCCGTGACTTACTACATGCTACATGCTACATGTACAGTCAGACCTCGCTTAATCGCACATATCTCTTTTCCACAAAAATATCCGGATAGGCGAGGTAACCGGATAACTGAACACACATACTGTATATGCATGTGGCATGTCAAAAGCAGTGACATCATACATACATGTAGACAGGTCCTATGCAGTACAACTAGCGTGCCCAGTATGGAAAACAAGCGAGAAAAATGACAAGTGCATGCAATAGGGCTTGAAAGTGCTACGTCACAGCGTAGCAACAATTTCAAAAATTCAAAAACTGGATCCACTTGGATCCAGTTTTTGTATGGATCCAAGCACATTTCAAGCAGTCTTACCCACAGCATGGTGATGTAGCCAGTGAAACTGACCGATTTGGCTACTGGGGGCGGGGTTACAACTGGTGGCGAAATAAAAGTCACGCCTGCATGCGACATGAGTGGGTTGCTATGCACCCACATACTTAGGCAATAGCAAAGTCACACCTTAGTGGATCCATAAATAGAAATCTGATGTCAACTTACTACTCCCTGGCCGTTTTGACGTCATCACTTTCAAGCCCTACTGAGTGCTGTCCGCACACACCCAGCAAGTCAAGGACCTCATTTGCTTGTACAACTCCTTGATACTAGCTTCTGCAAGCGCTAGCCAGCCACATGCAACCGGATACGACGAAGCATTTTGTACACATTTTAACCAGTTTGTACACAAAATCATGCACCGGTATGCGGATCGCGAGGTCCGGTTATGTTGTATGCATAACATATGCTGCACATCGGTAACCAGCGATTTTCTTCCAGATGGCGAGGGATCCGGATAAACGAGGTCTGACTGTAGTAAGTCACTGTGAAGTTACACCGGGTCACCACTGTGAAGTTACACCGGGTCACCACTGTGAAGTTACACCGGGTCACCACTGTGAGCCACGCTAAACATGATGCCTTGACTTGAGAGAGAGGGGGTGGGGGGTGGATGAAGAGTGCCGCTATTGCTTCTACAACCACCACCACACCCACCCACCCACCCATTCCGATTGTCTGATTTCATAGCAGATCTTCCAGCTAGCATTTTCCTCCAATGTGTTTATCTGTGCAGAATGCCAGATACTTGTGTTGCGTTGAAGATAGTGGACACGTCGGGAAATCCGTTCTTCTTTGAGGTAATGACCCGTCAAGATGCCCTGTAACGTTACTTCTGAATTTCTTGTCCTACAACTACATAGTGCCATGAAAAAGGATAAACAACTTACTTCTCGTTGTATACGGCTGATCAGTTTAACCTAGCAGCGCCTTCTTTGAGGTTTCCCTGTGTTAATAATGAATGTACAGTTGTTGGCCGAATGCCGTAAGTTGTATTTTTCGCCGGCCGAGCGGAACGAGATGGGCGAGAAATGATTTCTCGCACAACAATTTGTTCCTCTTGCGAATATTCTCGCCTGATGTTTTTTCTTTTGTTGTTGTTCTTTTTTCCTGACTTCTTCAGTCAGTTTTATGCCGGTGTATGTGGAGCGAGAATACCATAGCATTGCTCTTGGTAGGATGATGGTGTAACGACAGCACGTTATACCTATCTGCTGCACAATTTTGCCCCGTCTGTCAACGTGAACATGTGTCTGCGTGTATGCATACGTGTTTTATGTGTGTGTCTGTCTGCATTTGTACGCGTGACCGTGTGTTCTTCCATGCAGTGTCGTAATGAGTTCTACAAGAAAGTGGACGGTGTTCTGTTAGGGTATGATGTAACGGACATGCAATCATTCACTGACCTTGATCAGTGGTTAAAGGAGCTACGCAACCATTCCAATACTGATCTGGAGGACATTGCATTTGTCGTCTGTGCAAACAAGGTAAGCGTGGACCGTGGTGGTCCTGAAGCTTAACTCGTGTGCATTAATTACTGGTAGGTACTGCGTACTGTGTACTGTCGAAAGCAGCTCATCTGGGCGCAGCGTATGCCTTTGACGGGTGTACTTACATGTACATATATGTTATATCTACATTTTATGTACATATTATGGGTAATTTTTATTTATTAATTTATTTCACTCAACTCGTGGTCCATGACCAATTGGCACGCAAAGTGCGAGAGAGGGGTGATAGCCAACCACGGCAATTTGAGTACTCTGTCAGCTCAGATTGCACATTGTATACATCTGCAGAGTGTACAGTGTACAACTGCTGTGTGTATGGACTCTTCAGTGCACGCCATGCATTGGTTGTTGTTGTTGTTGTTGTTGCTGCTGCTGGTTGTGGTGGTGGTGTGTTAGGTTGATGGTGTTTCTGGAGCAAAGCGTGTCGTATCCGAAGCGGAGGGCCGTCGTTGGTGTCAAAAACATCGATTTGCCTACTTGGAAACCTCGGCACTGACCGGGCAAAACATCGCAGAAGTTTTCAAGGTGAGCACAGCGGTTCGCTGGTCTGGGTATGCACAGAGTGCTGCATAACCATGGCAGCTTGGACATGGTAGCCATGGCAACTTGGACATGGTAACCTTGGTAACTTGGACGTAGAGCCAGGTGATGAGAGATCCGACACGTGACCAGTTTCTGGCAGTGAGCAGTGCAAGTAAAAGTATGTGTGTGTGTGTGTCTTTTTATCACTCTAGGGGGACCTTCTCCCCTTTCCTTGATGACATCGAGTGTCACATACAGAGCAGCACTGTGTAATGATATGCATGTGATTGCAAGACCACACCGTGTATTACAGGACCACACCGTGTATTACAAGACTCTGCACTGTTCACAAAGTAAGTGTTCAAACTCACACTCCTACTTGTACTTCTCCGCCTTCAGACGTTGGTAGAGATGATCAAGTATGGTCAATCAGGCAAGGGGAAACCGCGTGTGAGTGACGCTGATCTCAAGGACTCGGCACCGCTTGAACCAACGGCAGAGCAGGCTACTGCTACGGAGAAAGTGATGTCTGGGAACAATGCGTATGAAAGACTGGGCGTGTCACGTACTGCAAGCAAGTAAGAGCATACCAGCGTCAATCCTTTACTACCGTTCCGCGGCGGCACTTTACCACCATGCATGCTTTCCTGTATCCTCCTACCTGGCATGCTATCCTGTATCCTCCTACCTTGCCACCCATTGTCATGCTAGGGTGTGTGCCGGATGAACAGGTGAATGTGTTGGTGTCAAATTCGTGTTTTCAAGCCCATTATGCTGTCATGTGATTTGCACCCTCTACAAGTTGCAGCATATATTGTCCTAGTATGTGTAGTATGTACGGTGTATGAAAACAGCACATACAAAATGCTGTACCTCCATCTTACGCTTCACCATGGGCTCTCAGCTGTACCGAATGAAAAGGCTGCCAATATCAATCTTTTCGCCCCTTGGGAAGCCTATTTTTCTTCGGTGCAGCTGAACGCCTGTGGGGGAGAGTAAAAATGGGGGTAGATTGTATTTCCAAGGGCAAAGAGAATACACTGCAAGAGCCTGAGTCTAACAGTTCTGAGGAAATGTTAGCACATGTAAAGCATGTGGTAATCGTCCTGTAACATGGTGTTCAACCATTGCAGTGGTATTTCAATCCTAAACAGTCCTTCTTTAAGACCGTCTTTCTTCATTGATTTCAGTCCCACTTTCCCCAGTCTGCTGGTCGTCTTCAAAGTGCTCATGTCTCACCACCATTAGCAGCTGTATCCGGCAATGCCTTTGATCTGTGAAGCTTTAGGTACCCCTGTAGATGTGAATGTTAAACGGGGATGGGAACCATGGAATACATTAGATCACCACTGTGTTACAAGCTGGGGTGATGGAAGAGGGTGTTAGGACTTGCAACAGTATTGTTTGGGGTGTCGCTACCTATGCATTGTCCTTACCATGCAGCATGTGCCGGCGTTGTGTGATATTTTCTCCAGGGATGATATCAAGAAAGTGTATCGGAAACTTGCAATGCTTCTCCATCCCGACAAAAACTGCCACCCGGATGCTGATGAAGCATTCAAGAGACTGGCTGCTGACAAGAAGGATCTCTTAGGTGAATAGTGAGGATACTGGGCATTCCTCCGCATCATCCCTTGCGCATCATGCAATAGTGGCCGTTTCTCGTCCTTTCATGTACCCATTCGTATCCCTGGTAACTGCCTGGTATCCACGACGACTGCCTGGCAGCAATGGTGCGAGTGGGGACTGCCTGTCCCATCACCGTTATCATACCAATTGGCAATATGTGTACACTGGTACTAGTTGCCATGGTTACAATACGTACACTGGTGCTTAGCTACAAGCTGTGCGGCAGTGGAGTTTCCAGCCGACTCTGCAGCAGTGCTCAGCCACTGTGGCAGTCACACACACACACACACACACACACACACACACACACACACACACACACACACACACACACACACACACACACACACACACACACACACACACACACACTGCCAGAGTGCCATAGTAACACTGAGAGGGACGCCTGAACAGTGTGTGGACCAATCTCGATCAGGGTGAGGATATTCTACTCTCCTATGCAGCACATGTGTCATGACGTTGTAGCAGACATTTGAGATGGCTGCTAGGATGTCCTAGTGTGCGAATTTTGATGAACGCTAGGTCTAGTATGATTGTCATATCAACTGTTGCTGTCTGTTATCAGATGGTGCAGAACTGATATCAGATTATGCAGAACTGATGCATACATGTGACATGTACTTGAGAGCTACTGCTGACTGCTATTGGGTATTATAACATGTTATGCACACAGACATATACACCCGATCTTTATCCACAATCTCAGCACAATGTACGGCGGTTATTGCATTTGGCTGCCATCACAGAAATGTATTGGAAGCCGTCTGTAGATGTGTTGTGATTTCTAAACTGATGACATCACTGCGGTATATCATTGCTAACGTTACATATTCTTAGATCTGTCATTATATCTTCGAACCACCAAATACATGTTGAATGATAATACCATGGTAACCATAGCCCTGATGCTGAGCAGAACTTGCTTTTAAACCAGTAGGCTTCAAGATGTGCAAGCCGGGTAGCCAGGAAAGGGTGGGGTGGGGGTATAGGTGTGAGCCTCAGCTATGCGGGCCACCCCAGTTTTCCGGAACTTCGTCTATATCCAGACTAGCATTTTCCAGAACTCATGACTTTGGGTCAAGGCTTTCGAATATTTTCCTCTTGTTCTTTTCACTTCTGGCTATGCTTGTGTGTACACCTGCAACTAAAGTAGACAAGACGAATCCAAAGAAGGATTGAGATTCTTTTCAAGAGACTAGAGTCCTTCTTTGGATGGTTTATTGCGGTGCAGATACGTATGACTCGAAAAATACAGATTGGTTTCGGCGGGGGGGGGGGGGGGGGGTGAGACAATGTGTTATCCAGACACGCTGTCCAGTTTGGGTTAGTGAACTTCCTCTCTACAGTCTTCTAGGAATAAATTTAGCCCGAATGGAGGTAGGTGTTCCTTAGAAAAATGAAATGGCACTCACTGGTCATGTAGATGCCTCCGACCGGGTCACCCGCACCATCAATACCAACACCATCACTATAATAGCCGGCTGGCATGGCACAATCACATTTTTCATGTTTACAATGGCTATTTACCTCGGATGGTTCTTCACTTTCTACATCACATTTCGTGGATTGACCATCACTACCAACACCACCACTACCACCGCCGTCGCAGTACTCCTGGCCGACTCAGTAAAAAATATCTTCCAGACATGCACTGCAGCCACCATGACGATAACAGCCCCCCAACACACACTCACACCAAAACGTTAGGTACACCGTAGAGTGAGATCAGGAATTATCTTCAATCATGATTCACGACTTGTAAAAGCGACACATTACTTATCTACCCATGTGTCAGTAAGTGTAGAGATACAGATATGGTAGACCAGCTGCTTTTTAAATGCCTTTACTCCTCAGGCTATGGCCCGGATAGGAATTGATAGAACTCAGCCCTGCGAGTGGGACCTACTGCGGTAATAGATACGGCTGTTCATATAAAGAGGACAATTGGGCGCAATTTCATCATCTCACCAAAACTCAAAAATATCAACATCAACAAACGCTTTTCAAAGGTAAGCTGTGTTCATCATCGCGGTCTCTCAAGTGATCAACAACTCAATTCAAATGGAAGAAGCAAATCAAATATTTTAAAACGCGTTTGAAATAGAGCTTTCCTTCGGCATGTAAGTGCCTCTTGTTTGCACCAGGACATGTACACGAACACTGCACGTTTTCTGTAGTGCTGTGCATCTTCTAGTAATACCATTCCCAGTGGTTGTTGTTATGACAACTGCTACATTGTACATCATGCAACACTGCCCAGGTCTGCACTACATGTATGCTGATGTGAGTACGTGAGTAACTGTTAGTCTGGTCTCTTATCTATTAGAACACTTCTTCCTGTGCGCCAAGTACTGATCTCGTGTAAAGTGCTGATGGCAGCCACTGCACTTCATCATGCGCTGGGACTGGGCAGGCTGTGCACCGGCTGCAGCAGCAGCTCTGGTCGATGTTATAGCAGCTCTGGTCGATGGTGTAGCAGCTCTGGTCGATGGTGTAGCAGCTCTGGTCGATGTTGCAGCAGCTCTGGCAGAACTTTGCACTACGCCTCTTGTAGGCGATGGCGCTGTAGTTATTGTGGAAGATTGCGGCGCCATTCTTGCCGGCACATCCGCCACAGCAACCTGTGCAGGTGTTCCCACAGTAGTAGCAACTGAAGCAGCAGAATGCTTTGGTGTTGCGTCCTCTGCAACAGAGTCTTTCGGTACTTGCACTGCAGTAGCTGGCGATGCAACTGCTGGGACTACACCACCAGCTGGATCAGTAGCTGGTGATGCAACCGCTGGGACTACTCCACCAGCTGGATCAGTAGCTGGTGATGCAACTGCTGGGACTACTCCACCAGCTGGATCAGTAGCTGGCGATGCAACTGCTGGGACTACTCCACCAGCTAGATCAGTAGCTGGTGATGCAACTGCTGGGACTACTCCGGCAGCTGGATCAGAATCTGGTCCAGTTGTTGTTGAAGTTGTGGACAGCCCTGTTGGTATTTGGGTTTCTTCTGAACCTCTTGCAATCCAAGGTGTATCCTCTGTTGTTTTGGTGGCTTCTGTGACTGTGGTAGCACCTTGTGCATTGGTCCACGCCATGGTAACCTCATTCCCTGTCCGAGTTGCTTTTCCTCCGATGAGTGCAGTCATGAATGATGACATTGACTTGTATGCCAGGAATGGTGTCTTACTGATGCGGCAAGCACTAATGCCACCGCCGCTGGCCTGACTTGGTTGAGGCTGCAAGGAGGAGCCGGGGGGCACTCTCCCTGGACCTTGCTCCGCTGCTTCTTGCTCACGCCGATGCTTCGCTACTTCTTCAGGAAACGTCTTGTTGATTTCGGACTCGGGTATATCCCGCAGAGGAGTCTCCCAGAAAAACTTGTTCTCACTGTTAGACTGAGGCCTGTCCGGGCTGGGGCTGGTTGTGACTGTGAACCGAGAAGTGCAGCTGAGTGTGTCTTGGGATGAAATCTGCGAGTGTTGCTCTGCTGCTGTGGTAGTTGTGTGCATTGGACCACCTCTTGCCACAAACTGCATATGCATGACAGGATAGCGTGACACAAACCCACCGTGAGTATGTCAATGGAACAGTGCTTTGCAACACACAGGATTAGGCAAATTCTATATGCCGGGCTGACATAGTGGTATGTTCATTTCTTGCTATTGCTGCTGCTCTGCAGGTATGCGTGCGTGTGTGTGTATGTGCGTGCGTGCGTGTGTGTGTGTACCACTGTGAATCAACTGAATTGAAAAGGAACAGCGCTTTGAAGTAGTCAATTGGCTGACCATCACTGTCGTCATCCACAGTGGACTAATCAGTGCAGAGACACTGGCATCCACAGTGGACTAATCAGTGCAGAGACACTGGCTATATAAAATACTTGTAGAATTACAATGTCTGTGCTGTTCACGCTCAATACCAGTCACGAGGATAAGAACTCTGCACCTGGCATATACTTCAACAAATACGCCGTCAGCTTGCGCCTGGCAGCATTTCCACACTAGGCATTCACACCTATCTAAGAACATGACCATTGTGCCTAACAACCATGTTACCATGGCAATGACCCTTACATCAGAGAAATCGCCATGTGCTGACACTGACATGCTTGATGGCCCTGCGCACTCCTGCAAATGCGGCAAACCAAACACAAACCATACACATTATGAACTACCATATCACCTCGCAGAGAGTTGTATGGGTAGCGCGCCATGGGTCATGATCTCAGAAGAAAGTCTAGAGCCGTTCAGTCCTGGAGCGGGTGATTCCAACAATGGACAATGCCTACACCCACACACACACACACACACACACACACACACACACACACACACACGCACACACACACAACGTGACGGTGTTCTGGATAGAATGGATGGCACACAATGTAAGAGGCCAGAGGAGAAAAGTTCATTGTGCTGAATGTAAATACGGAAACTCACTGCAATATGGGATGGTGGCTGTGGCCTCAAGACCTCTGTAGCAGGTTGCGCTGTTGATCTGTGGCTCTGTGTCTGAAGTCTTTGTTGTTCTTGCAGCTTTCGATTCGAAGAATTTGAATGACCAGCATTCCTTGAGACACCCTGATGACCATCTTTGCTTTTACGAGCTTCCAGCTGTTCTAGCTGATAGGAAGTAAGCTTCGTATTCTCGGCTTTGTACATTCTTCCAGCAGCCTCTTTATTCTTAGCAATCCGCAATGATCTCTCATGCTCATAGCGTAGCTGGGCTTTTTCCATTTGCAGCTGCTTGATCTCAGCTTGCAGCTGGGTCTCGCGTTGAGCTTGCTTGCTGCAGTATTGCTGCCAGCTGACATTCATGTCGCGTAGCTACAACAACAACAACAACAACGGCAGCAAAAGCAGCAGCAGCACGAACACGACCATGACCGCCAACAACGGCAGCAGAAGCAGCAGCAGCACGACCACGACCATGACCGCCAACAACAGCAGCAGCAGCAGCAGCCAAAACAGAAAGTACTGTTAGGGAGGAACACACATATTACCATCCATGTTTCTATATCAGCTCCAGTCGCTGCACCCCTGTGCAGCAAATACCGTAACCCCTGGTAACACCCCCCCCCCCCCCCCCCGTACAGCAAATACCATAACCCCTGTTAACCCCCCTTGTCAAATTCCACACATGCCTAGAATGCATGTTACACATAACTCCCAAATGATCTCTTCGTTGGAAGCACTTGACTTTGCATTAAGATTTCCATTTGAAATAGAACTGTTGCAAAGTCAAGTGTTTGCAGCAAAGATATCGTTTGAGAGAGAGAGAGAGAGAGAGAGAGAGAGAGAGAGAGTTAAGAAAAATGTGTGAATGTCTGTGTTGGAGTTTGCAGACAGTGCAACACCTGTACCAGTGCAGGCAAAGCATCTTACCTTTTTATTATCCTCCGCAAGTGTTATCAACTTGGACTTGCACTCGGCTAAAATGTTCTTCAACCCCCTGCTGTGTTCCAAGTTGCGATTCTGATCACAATAGCAAAGAGACGCACACGCCAGGACACCAGGGTAGCACAAAATCCTACTTCCAACCGAATGTAAAGAACAAAATCCATGAGATGGAAATGTTCGACAGATCCATGTACATGACTGTACATATATTGATATAATTCTACTGACGTGCTAGCATGTATGATAGAAATGTTCAGCTACAGTTGATAGTTCACATGCATCGGTATGTGCTTATACTTTACAGTATATACCTGAAATTGTACAGCCATTTGCCATGATTCTATTAGCATCCACTGAGCTACAGCGTACAGCGTAAGTATGCGTACAGCGTAATTATGCGGACGTTGTCAGGATGGAACAGGGACTCCATGTTTACGACATGCATGCATGTGCATGTGCGCGCGCGTGTGTGTGTGCGCGCGTGTGTGTGCGTGCGTTTGTGAGTCAGGAATATTGCCTTCCTGCTTGATCAAGTATTCAAGTATTTAGACCATGCTGATGTGGTATACAGTCATGTAGTTCTGTTCCCATCCCCTCCCCCAGGGCTGAAACACACCACAACACACCACACAGTCACTTGAAGTGCAGTTGTACTGCTGTGATTGCAGGAACTTATTACTTATCTGCTGTCACTGCATGCTGTACCCTGGCACACGATACAGGAAAAGTGGGGGTGACGCGGACACAGCGTACACCGTTACTTTACAGCCTTTGGGTTGATAACTTGATAAGCCAGTTACAAAACAAGCAGCTCGTTTTGAAGGTGCTCAGCTAGCTGGCCGTTCACATAAAAATTAATTGTGATAACAAATACTTTACAACACAATTGTACAAGCGACCAACGCGTGCAACAGCCGCACAATGCTGCGCAGTGTATGTGTTACCTGCTCAGCTCGCTCTGCTTCCAACTCTCTGATCGTGGCCTGGCTGGATTTCAACTTCTTGCACAGCTCCTCGCACAGTGCTAGTCGAGTCGTGGCAGCCTTTTCGTCAGGCGCAGAATGACAGGTGTCTGGACATGTAGCGACTGTAGGTCTACTGCCCGTTGACTCCGTGTCACTACTGGTGGTCGCCATATCCGCAGCGCACTGTCTCCGCGGGGCCGGGGACGTACAATCCATGCGAAGTCGCTCATTCTCCACTCTCAGCTCAAGAATTTGTGAAGAAAATAGGCAATGAGACGAGGAGCAGTGCACTTCCTGTGCACACAAAGACGAAGAGACACTAACAATCACGGCAAAATACTGAGCACATGCACATGACATAAGTCACATCCTACTACTACTACTAGCGTTAGGCACCGATAACTCAACGGTCACATTGTAACATAAAAACTGATACAGATTTGGACACGAAACTGAAGAAAGCAGCATGCATGCATTTCGCGCAAAAGTCATTGCAATTATCTGCATAAATGCTGAGAATAATAATCATCATCATAACGACATAAGTCCACTTCATCTAAAATATTATGCTTGACGAGACATGACTCGATTGTAGCCATTCTGGACAACAGCTCTCAAGCTCACCTTGTTCGAGTAGGTTTTGCCTTCGTGGCCCTTGTCGGCAACAGTGCTGGTCAAATCTCCACATGTCCTGTCAGCAGCAGCAGCACGTGTATATAACTGTTCCACAGCAGTATGCTGCTCTTCGACGCACTGGCTGCATGACGAATGCAGAGCTTCCAATTGATTTTCAACACAGCGCACAGCATCGATCATAGCATAGACATGGCGACGGAGCAGTTCACACTCCTCTTCTTGCTCCCCGACAGTCCTCGCTAGGATTTCAGTGCCGCGGAGGCGAGCTTGCAGCAAGGCATTGCCAGTTTTCAATGCACTGATGTCGTCGAGCGAATACAGTCGTCCCGTCTCTTCCATTTCATAGATACTATTAGACTAGCAGGCTTTGTTGCCGAATTTGTCATGAGTACTACTGGGTCAGACTACTCTACACAGAACATTTTGGCAAGAAATAATTGAAAACAGTTCGATCTGATGCGATCCCACCTCACACGTGCAGTCGCACTGGATCGGAGCGCTCACTTTCCGTAACTGCTATACTTTGATACTTTTACTTGGCTATTATTGTCTTTTACGGCTATGTAGAGCTTGATGTACCTGCGCTTATGTACTAGTAAGTAACTGTTAGCTTCAAAGATCGGGGTTGGCGACAGCGTAAACGCGTTATTTGACGGCCAATCCCGAGCCGTAGTACGCTCTGACTCAACTGCCCCTTCAACTAGTACAACTACAAGCCTGGGACAAACTGGGATAGCGGTGTCAAACTCAAACACAATCGTCGTACATATTACCTATGACATGATCTCAGCACATTTCTTAGCCCCACGAATTTTTCCTGTAAGCTAGCTCGTGCCGAGACACGAGCGAAGGGATCGCCAAACCTTTCTACACGAAATACATGTAGCCGTCTTTCTACTGCTGTAACTGAAGGGCTGTCAACCCCTACTCGCAGCGTATGCCATTGAAAAACGCCGACGTGAGTGTGGATCTGTGTGACTGCCCGCGCGTGTGTGTGTGCGTGAGGACGTGGGCAGGCAGGGGGCCGGGGAAGCACTATGCCATCTCCAGATCACACGCATTCATCCTATGATGGTCACAATACACGGTGGGCTATTTCCAGTCCACTGGACTTGTGTGCGAGTGTCACGCTGCGTCTGAGGAGATGGACATGAACCTGTCGACCGGTAGTCCAACTCCACCAGGTACTGGTACTAATAGATCTACAGACAGTAGTACAAAACAGCTTTGGCTTTGACTAGTTTGAGTTTGACAGCAACCCAGTAAAGTAAGTAAAGTCATGTAGACAAGTAAGTTGTACTGTTGTTTTGGTCACGTAGCGTTGATCCCCGGCCCCCAACCATGTAAACCGGTACGTAGATAATGAATGCGAAGTACATGACATCATTGTAATCATGCTGTAGATACTCATACTCATAGGATACTGTAATGCACTTTTCAGGGGAACACGCGATGGAATTTGTTCACTTTTTGAGAGGAGTGCGACAGCTAGTTATGGCCTGACGTCGGCGCTTGCAGTGTGTCGTGCTTGCAAACGTGACCCTCAGTTAGTCCGAGCGCCAGCTAGCTGTCCAACTGGCTCCGTTATCCTCAACCGGTTAACCCCTGCCTTGGCCTCGCGGACTGATGACTGCCCCCGTTCCTTCTCCCTAGGCTACGGTGTCTACACTGACTACAGTGTGCTTGGAAGCGGTCACAAAAATAGTCTACTGGCGATGATGGTACGAGTCTGTGCTGTACTGGTGCGACCACGTGTACTTACAGGCAGCATGCTGTCATCGTAGGACAGTCGGGTAGCGATGTTACAGGTGCGGAGCAGCAGGGTGGTTTATGCACTCTATCGTCAAATGCCACCAATGCACTGCAAGGGTGGAAACAGCTTGTAACGTCGCATCTAATCAAAAACCCAGAAAATGCCACTTACTAACTTTTGTAAGTAGTCAGTCTGAACTGTATACATGTACTGTGGTGCGGATTCTGAATAGTTCAGTATTTTCTGTTTCTGTGTACAGTGTACTACTCAGTATGACACCACACATGCACAATCACTATGTAGATCATACATACTAGATGTTACTGTTAGCCTTTCACAAGACCTAGTACAGGTGGAATCCTGACAATTCGAATATGGCTTAATTCGAACATACCGCTTATTTAGAAGTTTTCCAGAACCGATTTCTGTCAATACGATTCCCACATAAAAAATTCTGATAATTCGAACCTCGAACCGGACATGTCCGATTAATTCGAAGTTCCACGGATTCCACTTACATACAATGTAGAACATGTGTGGGATTTGTGCTGATAATTCGAAGTTAGCAAAGTATAATTCGAAGTTCACTGTACACTGTACTGATCAGTTCAGTTTGCATGAGCAGGCTGAGCTGGTCAGTTCAGTATCCGTGAAATCTTTGTCTAAGGTCCATAGCGCAACTCTGCGTGACCAGGGAAGCATTTCAAGTTGACATGCTTGGTACATATTGTGTTGTGGGGTCATGTTTGGATAATTAGAATGTCCGGATAATTTTTTCCTGGCATTTGGAGGTTCGAATTATCAGGATTCCACCTGTACAAGTATGTATGTACTAGCAGTTTAGGCAGGCGGCACATGTGAGTTATAGCCCTGTTGACATCCCCAATACATTATGGGCACAGTTTAAAACCACCGGAATGTGCTCCAGCGTGCAAATACTTGAAATAGCACAAAGACGTGTTTTAGGATAGTTTCTTGGGATCCTCAGGACTCAGGCTCAGGGGTGTGAAAACTGGAGTCTTGACTCTAGTGATCAGGATGTTTGCGCATGGGATATGCCTTGCCCTTTCGAACAATGGGACACGTATTTCTGGCGCAAGTACATGTACATTGAGAAACAGTGATTGTTACCATTGGCATTGGTCATGACTCTCGACACATGTACATGAGGAGATAGTCTTCTTTTCTTTGATTTGACTTTGTGTCACACCCTGTGTCACATTCACTCTGCAACCAGCTGAAGTGAGGGTCTAGTCACCACTGTATCAGCGGCTGGCACTGATTCCCTGACTGTGCTTCCTGTCACAAATGCAAGCCCCCCCCCCCCCCACACACACACACTAGCCCCTGGCCTTGGCGCATAATCGGTTAAGAGAAATCAGTAGTTAATTGGCAGAATTGGGTACTTTTGCTGGTATGTTTCATGATGCATGTTTGGTATGTTTCATGCATGTTTGGCATTAGTGGATAAAGAAATCAGGGAGCGGATTTCGAGGAAGTGCCTGCCATAAGGTTTGTATGGTTCTGGCTATTCATTCACTGCTATTCGTGCAAATTCTGCCAATCTTTCTATCATTATCTGCCAAGGTCTACCCCCCCCCCCCCCCCTCTCATGCACACACTCACACACCCAGTGCCAGGAACTGGCTTTTGTGGATGTACCGGTATGTGTGTTTGTGGATGGTTTCCCTGGGAGAGGGGAGCATTGCTCTCAGTGACTTGGCAAGATAAACGGTCTTTACAGTGACAAACAGACACCATGCGTAATGTGTTCCTCAATCAAAAACTAACTTATTCATAACTAAACTGAACCGTGATGAACTCAGGCCACGTGCATGAATGCATGGACGTACAAATTGTATGACTGGTGTACTCACTCTGTGACCACAGATACATGTATATGTACATGTATGCAATGTCATTCTGTGCGTCACATGACAATGTGGACAATGAACTGCATGCACTGTATTGTTCATTATTATAAAGTAAGTAAATGTCCTGTACATTGTGAAGTGCTCCTCTGTATCTGAACAGTTAAAGTCACTGAGTACTGTGACATGTGTGCGTGTGTGTGTGTGTGTGTGTGTGTGTGTGTGTGTGTGTGTTGTAAGATTGACGGTGGACTATAAAGTATAATACTATAGTATCTGTCACTGTCACTCAGTACTGAGTATATTCAGTAACTGTTCCCATGTCTGCTACCATCAAGACTCAAGAGTAGGCACCGGCGGATTCTGCTCGAAAAGGTGGCAGATTCTGCTCGAAAAGCAGTGAAATTGGCAGACCCATACAAACCTCATGGCGGGCAATTCCTCGAATTCTGCTCCATTTCCTTATCCACATACCAAACATGCATGAAACTTACCAGAAAAAGTACCGAATTCTGCCAATTTTTCTGCCGGCATTATCCGCCGGTGCCTACTCAAGAGTACAAGCGCTTAAGCCCCCATTTCTGACTAGTATACTCTTGGTACTATGTATAGTAACACTACAATAATGTGTGTTTGCCTAACACTGTGACATGAAGGCACCTCTGATTCTAAACAGACTGTCAGTGCATGCATAATTATAACGTTTCGATTTGAAGTTTTTCTTTGTTTGCGTTTGAAAAATCTTTATTTTACACATGCATTTTCATGATTTCCTCTCGATCTCCAGTGCTGTATTGCATTTTAATCCATTTTGTTAGTTCTTGCCCGTAGAAGAGGCTTGCTTGTACCTGACACCTAAAAAACAAAACAAAACTGTGACAGTGCATGCTCCTTTGTTACTAAATACAGCAGCAGCTGCTGTAGTTGTTGTTACCGTTAATATACATGTACATATCAGATCATGATCATAATTATATTAGTATACATGTACGTGTATACAAACTCGGAGGGAGTTGTGGTTGCTCGTGAGAGTGCTCAATACACCAAGGTGCAGAGCCTAGTACGTGTGTACGTGTATACATGTACAGGCATGTACATTCAGGTGCCCTGAACAATGACAGCCGACCAGAGACACTAATTCGACGACGCAGTTTTATTTCATGCCACTCTGACTTTTCATCAATTTCAACACATCAATGGTTTACACTTTACAGGCAGGCTTTCTTCCTCCTTTCCTGCTTCTGTGCATTCACAGTACATTCAATCCTCTGCTCACGCAGTGCTCAATGCCCGAAAGGTCGAAGTTACAGCAATAAACTGAGTGCAATATGATTGTATTGCTTATTTGTACATGTGCATTCAAGTAACGTTACTTCATATCATGTGTAACCAATGCCACTAAAATGGTAAGCTATGACTGATTCTACGACTGGTAGATGCATGTAGAGCATTTACAATCAGATAAGATTTGCGGCATCCACAAGAAGGCAGACATATCTAAACACGTGCATCAGGTCATGTACTTCCAAGAAGCATTTACCAGCGTACATGGGGCTAATAATTATGTTCTACAAAATTTATGTGTTTACAAGTAATATCAAGTAGCGTTGAGACACAGCTTGAACAGCTGCTTCCAATCTCTCTCTTGTGTAATTATTATACATGTACATGTATGTGTTACTCAATCTGCGGACAGCATGCTGTTTCGTTCTTTGTGAACTCATCAGCGCAGCACAGAGGAAATGAGGCCGAACCTGATCATAGTAGTAGCAATGGAAAAAAAATGTATGTGTTATGATGGTTGCGGTGAGTGCTGTTTGGCACATGGTGTGAGTCAATCTCAGTGAATCAGACACAGACGGTCTCAATGGGTGTACGCGTGTACACACGCACACACACACATACATGTACACACACACTGGCATTCAACAATTCTACACTCGGATGATTTCAAAGATACATGTATCATTACACTGTATTTTAATACACTGTCTGCATAACTGATGATTCATTCACTGATACCAGGTATGAATGAATTACTTCTGGTGGCTGTCGTCCGCATGATTCTTACTCATTTCTTGCCTTTAGCCCTTTTATACCATGACTAAGTACAGTTATCACTGGGACTATGGGAGCGCTGCAGAAGTAAAGTGACTCACTCTTTGTCGGATGTTACTCAATCAGCCAATGGACAGACATTGTCTGTGAGGAGGGCACTAGGCTAGCTATTTCTTTGAAGAAAACGTACACGTAA